GAAAGGGGCTCTAAGGGAAGTTCTGTTCTCAGACATCTATACTGCATTTTTTTGGTGGCATTTTGCCATAGAAAAGAAAGGGAGTAGAAAAAAGCCTATTCTAGGCCTTAGGGTTCTCAACAGACATCTGGACATTAAAAATTTTAAATGTCCTTCCTACAAGTTTTTCCACTGCTGGACTAGGGAATGTGGTTTGCCATCCTTGATCTCAAGGATACCTACTTCCACATCTCCATCCACAAATGCTGTGGGAAATTGTCATGCCCCAGCTCCCCTGGGTCCACAGACAGAGAGTTGGGCTGATCCAGTGCTTAATTTCTTTTCATGGAACCAGCAGACACAGCCTCAGACCTTTGTGAAAAGAGGGAAGGTGAATATCATCCAGGTCCCCCTCTTTCACTCCTGGACTCTATCTTTGGAGATCCTTCTCTCTGAAACCTGATAGACCATATAGAGTTGTGGGCTCTTCCTCCCTGGCTGGTCAATCTGCTTCCTTTTAAATCTCTTGCCTCCAGCCCAGCTTCCCCCTCCTATCTCAATCCCTGTTCCTCCTCAGCAGAGGGAGGCCAATGAGCCAGCCTGGCTCCTAATCCCAACACCTGCTCCCAGTCCCTCCTCCCACCTGCTACCTCAGCGTCAGGTGGGGTGGGTGGCCCATCCACCCCTACTACCCTTCCCAGCCCTTATGCCTTGGGACAGCCAGGATGATCATAGTGCTTGACAACCTTTCCCATTTCCAGCCACTCAATCCTCCTGTCACTCTCTGCTCCTGTATTGACCTCTTCTGCCACCAATGTCCACTTCTTTCTCTCCCTGGCTCCATGGCAGTTGCATGTCTCAGCTTGGCCCTTGATGTCTCCCTCTCCTTCCGACCCCATGCCTCAGGTGGAGAGTTGAATTGCCTCTTTGGGCCCCACAGCCTTGGTGAGTCCCCAGGGCAAGGCTGGAGGAGCTGGAATCGGGGCGACCCTCAGACAGAAATATTTGAGATTCCAGTGTGGGAAACATTGTTATGAGTACACAGTTTTACCCTTTGGGTTAGCCACTGCACCAATAGTCTTCACTAAATGTGTTTCCGTAGTGGTAGCACATCTCAGGCTGAAGGGCCGCACAATTTAGCCCTGCCTTGACAAATGGTTATTTGCAGATGCTTCTCCCCAGTTTCTGTGCAGTCCCTTGGAAATAGTGCTTTACAATCTGGACTCACAGGTTTCTAATTAATTTGGAAAAATCCCCCCTGCATCCCACTCAAACCATTGAATTCATTATCTCAAATACAAATGGGTCCTTGATATAATAGACCTTCCTTTGCACCTTGATATGTTATTTATCTTTTAAAATGTTGAATACAATCATATCGCAACTGAAGTAAGAACTATTGTATTTCATAAATAATACCTTAAAATAATAATAAATGGGATGAAAGGGAAATATTTCCTGTCTTATATACTTTGTACTACATGATTGTCCTTGACAAACACAATTACTTTGTATAACCTCTTTTTTTTCTTCCCCTTTTCTTTTCTGTATCCCCACTGTCTTCCTAAATAATAAAAAACCCTAACTAATCATTGAATTCATTGGGGCTCGCATAGATTCCACCTAGGGCAGGGCTTATCTTCTGGCCCAAAGGGCATACTCCATTTGCACCATAGTCCGGCACTTGTGGACTAATAGATTTCAGTCAGCCTTACAGATTCAAAAGTTGCTGGGTTTGATGGCATCTACAACGGCAGTCGTTCCATATGCCAGGTTACACATGAGGCCCTTACAGAATTGGCTTCTCCATAAGTTTAATACTTGAAAGGATCTCCAGTGGCAAAGACTTTCTATACCCAGAGTGATTATTAGGATGTTGGAGTGGTGGAAAGAGATTGGCAGTCTGCTCAGAGGCTCGGAGTTGGGTACCCATACATGTGATATCAAGATTTTTTTGGATGCGTTTTGACGGACTAGGGAGCACACTGTGGTCTGTTTCAAACAAAAGGCAAAAGGAGTCAAAATTACTCATACACTGTGGTCTGTTTCAAACAAAAGGCAACTAATAACAGGAGTCAAAATTACTCAAATGCTAGAATTAAGAGCAATCAGGTATGTTCTCGTATCTTTTACAGCTCTCCTCGCTAGAAAAGGAGTATTGCTGGCCACTGACAACACAACAGCATATTTCTACTTGAAAAAGCAATGGGGACAGGTTCCTAGCTCTAGGAAAAGAAGCATCACACATACTACCTATCTTTTTGGAATGGGGCCAACCTGAGATAGATCTCTTTGCATCCAGAGAAAACGCCAATGTCCCCTTTTTTGCTCCAGGGCAGCATCAGACAGGGATTTTATTGGGGATGCATTCCAATTTAGGTGAAACAGCCAGCTATTCTATGGTTGCCCTCCTTTCAGTATAATCCACAAAGTTATTGCCAAATTGAGGGCAGACAACTCCACATGTATTCTAATAGCCCCACTCCCTGGAGAGTGTGGTTCCCAACCCTCTGGACCCTTTCACGAGGGCTACACAGATTAATCCCTCTGGCAGACAACGTACTCATTGTAGGATCCCTTCTGCACCCCAATGTTAGGTCCTTGCACTTCCCAGCATGGCTAACCTAGCATTAGAAACATGGTCAGACAGAGTAGTGGAAGTTCTCACTGCTTCCCGTAACCTGTCCATTTGTAGATCCTGTTCCTCAAAGTGGAGGAGATTTTCCACTTTTAAGTGGCTAGGAAGGGAAGGCCAGTCAGATTTTCTATCCCTAAAGGATGAGGGTTTAGTGACCTTATTCTTAAAAGTACATCTGGCGACTTGTCTGCTTTCCACACAGGGGTTAGGGGTGCAATGGTGTTTTCAGCACCTCAGTCTAAAGAGTTTCTGAAGGGTTTGCCCAATTTATATCTCCCTGTTATACCTTCAGGCTCACAATGGAGTTGGTCTTTGTTTTAACAAGGCTTATGCATAAACCTTTTGAACCTATGACAAAATCTGAAGTGTCTGTTTTGTTGTACAAAACTGTTTTTCTGCTGGCTATTACAGCAGCACGTAGAGTGGGAAGGCTACGTGCCTTCAGTTATGACCCCCCCACACACACACAAAATTCTATGCTGACGAAGTGGTACTATGGCCTGTTTTGAACTTCCTACCAAAAGTAGTCTCCCAATTCCATTTAACTCAGGTTATCACCTTACTAGTTTTCTTCCCATCTCCAGAACCTCTGCTTCAGAACAAACATTACATACACTTGATGTTAGGAGAGCACTCCTTTTTATTTGAATTGTACAAAACAGTTCAGAAAAGATTGTAATTTATTTATTTGTTTTAGCGACCCCAATAAGGTAAATCAACTTCTGCGGAGACTTTAGTAGCCTACAACAAGGCAAATGTGGCATGTCTGATTCTGCGCAAAGCTCACTTCACCAGGGCCCAGGCATCTTCAGCAGCTTTCCTTGCTGACATATGCAAAGCGGCTACCTGGTTGACTCCCTTGATATTCATCAAGCATTATTCCATTTATGTAGACTCCAGAAATGAGGCGGCTCTGGGAAAAGCAGTTCTACAATCAATTTTTCACTGATCTGCCCACACCCACCTTCTTGGTAAGTGAGCTCGCTACTCTCCCATGTGGGACTGCACAGAAACCACAATGATGAAAACAGGGTTGCACTTACCTGTAACTGTTCTTCATTGAGTGGTCTTCTGTGCAGGCACACATTCCTCCCTTTGCCCCCTCCCGCTGTGATCTGTTCTACCTGACCTCTTGATTCCCCACAGTAACGGAAAACTGAGGAAAGAACACTCTCCCTGCCTCCACCATGTGCTCAGTTCAATGGGAAATGTCAGCAGAAGATGGAGGAGGGGGAGTGCTCCTAGGCTCTTGAATCTTCTGGAAAGCTTTGGAAATCATCCTTCCATGGCAAGCCTGTGACTGTGCAGACCCCATATGTGCCTGCACAGAAGACCACTCAATGAACAAGTTACGGGTAAGTGCAAGACTACTTTATGGTCTTATTTTAATAGTATTCTCCATTTTGCACTGTTATTGAAACATCTTCCAAATTACTTGATGTGGTGCATGAGCTACTGTTCAGTACAAAGACAAAATTCTGGCTTGGACATGAAGTTCTATAGGTTGTGGTTCAATCCCTGACATCTCCAAATAAAGGACCTAAGGTAGTCTATGTTAGAGACAGAACATTCTCTGCTTGAGACTCCAGAGATCTGCTGGCATCCACAGCAGACAATACTGAGTGAGATGTACCAGTACCAGTGAGATGTACCAGCAGTGTGACGCAGCATAAGGCATTCAGGTGTTCATACGGTTCAGTATTACTTGACTTCTGTAATCAACGTCTAATCTTGATAAGGCTGGCTACTCCAATTAGTGTTAACCATAGTTAAGATCATTACCAGTGTCAGCTTTAACTGTTTAAGGTCAGAAAGGACAAATGTGCAGAAGAAAATATTTTTTTCAGTTGAACATTCCATCCTAAATGTTGACAAGAAATTGTGAATGTTGTTAAAGATTAGGATACTGGCCTGCATTGTGGGTTCCATGGTCATTATATACAAGGAGAGAAGGCACCATTTGGTCTGCTCAAAAGTAAAATGAAACCTGATGCATTATAATTGAAATCATACATGAATTTGTTAATTCCCATTTACCCAGTTGACATTTGCAAACGTCTTTCTGCTTTGCTTATATTATTTATGCAGGCCAACCGTCTCATTGTAGTTTTTAATTTTTGAATCCTGATCATTCCGTTCAGATTTTGCTTCAGTTTTTGCCATCAGTGATGTGTCTGGTATCACATGTGACAATCTTTGGTTTCCTAATGGGTAATGAATCTAGTTATTTATTTTTACATGGCTGAATTGAAAGCCTGATTAAATACAAGAGAGGGCAGAACTTCAATGCACCATCTTCATAGCATTGTACAAATACAATTGATTGTTCAATATTTGTCATACAGTGGATGGAGGAATATCTGTATCTGCTTTGTATTTCTAGGCTATATTGGATGTTGTAGTGAACCTTCAGTTTAGCCTAATAGAAAAATTGTGGCAAACTTTCTGGCGCTATTCTCCCTCAACAACAACCGATGGCACTATTACTGAACCAAGGTTGGTTACTTTTTTTGACAGCTTGTTAATAATAATTTAGTAGCATTTTTCAAATAAAAGAGAAATGTAAACTTACCTTCTAACTTGAAAGTTCCCTCTTTAATTACTAGATTAAACTGCCATTTTATTATAACTGCAGGATATATTTATATGCATACCATTTATTTTATGAGAGCAGGGCACAGTTATTTTCTCATGAAATAGTATCCAATCCAAAGACCATTCTTATCACTGCTGCATAAAATGGTGCTTTTTGACTAGAGCTCTAGAGGCCATGAATCAGTCATTACAACACAAAGTGCCTCAGGGCAGTTGGGTGTGTTTCAGACATCTCTAATGTTTTATTTAAAAAAGCTTTGAAGTCCATTGTTCTTTTTTATCTTCATGTAAATGCATTTTCATTTATTCATTTAATACATTTGTTCACACCAGCAATCTGAGTGAAATAGAAAGTCGACTTCCGAAAGCAAAGCTGATTACTCTGTGCAAAAATGAGTCAATTCTGAAATGGATGTGTAACTGTGACCATGTGATGTACCAGGCTTTGGTGGAGATTCTCATTCCTGACGTCCTTAGACCTATTCCTAGTAAGTTGACTATAGAAGACGTCTTGTAAGGATTCTTTTTTTGTTTTGTTGTACTGGTGATCTTGTGCCTATAGAACCTCCCATGGAGCTCTTTAGGAGTGACTCTGAAGGCAGTTTGGGTGCAGTTGTTTTTATTTACAGCATAGACAGGTACATCTTGCATTAATAAATATTGCACTTAAGACTTAACTCTATATGCGTATGGGATCATGCTTTTTCTACAGTAGAAGTGCTTATTTTATTTTTATAGGTAACAATTCCTTTGAATATTTCTTGTCTGTATTGACAGCGTCCAAAATGTTCTGGTGTCAACTTGTTTTTTCATGGCTTCAGCAAATGGAGGACCTAATACATAGTTGTGCATGTACAGTAGTAACATGTCAGTGGTAATGTGTTATGAAAAAGTACCTTTTCATTGGCGATAGTATTGCTGATCTAGTACACAGTTGCATATTTGCTCCTCTGTTCTGTCCAATCATCATCTTTTCAGGGACAGAGGAAAAAAATTTAGGGGTACGGTTGCATCCACCCTAATGTCTTATATGAGATTTATAACTTGGTAGGTTGAATGACTTATCAGGCAACTCTTTTATGAGAAACAGTTTCTTAACATTATTCTTTTTTCTATTTTCGGTTTTCTTTAAAAAATCAGCTGGGTCTAGAATGATGTTCTCAGCATCTAACTAAAAATGTTGTACCTTGGCCAGCTAGTCATTATCAAATTGTTCTACTTGAGAACAGAATACCTCAAAGATAAAATTATTCAGACCAAGGCAGTATACTTTGTTGTTTTCAAAAATAAAGCTGTGGATTCTAGCAAAACTGATTTCCATTATAAAGCATTATGTCTGTCCTTTACATTGTAATAAATACATATAAATTTACTTTCCATTAACAATAATGGTTAATGGTTTCTGTGGGAAAGAAAATCTGTATAACTGCATAGGTGTCATGTTCTGTGAACAATTATTTTGTAGTTAGGTGAAAAGCTCTCATGCCTCAAAAGAAATTTATGGCAAGGCTATTTTCTCTTAAGTCACTGTAGATGTTGCTATTACAGTTCTTACAAAATGTTCAGAAACACATCCAATTTCTGCAAGAATATGCTACTGACTTTCACTTGTGAATGAAGAACACTTCACTATTTATATTACTTTCGGCACAACACAAGATCATTATGGAACAGTCTGAATATCAGGCATCTTCTGATGCATTTTTCGGAAATTTATACTGTTGATATACACTGATATAAATGTTATGTACAGTGAAAGCAACAGGGAAGTACTTGATTCAGAATTGTGTGTTAACACTTGCCATATTTATTTATTAATGGTTTGAATGGAGAGTGAAAGATATTCATTTTTAAAATTTTTAAAAAAGTCTGACCAAACATCCATCCACCTGTTTGTCTCTATATCTGACTTAATGGCAAGGCAAAGAAAATCTGATAATTATTTCTGTATATATTTAGAAACAAAAGCTAAAATGGGCAGGAAAGCATGGCCATTTGACTTTGTAGATGTTTTAAACATTGTATTACAGTAGGAAGGGACACTTGGGCCAAAAGGTTTGCCTACTCTGGATGTAGATGTTACAGGATAATCTGTCAGTCGTATTTGTTTTGGGGAAACACATTGCTAAAAACATCAAGACAAACAATACACTGTCTTCAACTATATCAGAAGCAGTAAACAAGTCACGGAGACCAGGACTGTTAGGTTACAACAAAGTGCAAAAATAACTGAAGGAAAATATGAAGATTGAAAAGACAGAGAAATTATTTGCAACAAAAGATCTTGGACAAATATCCATACTTGAATCATTGGAGACAGGTGGGGTGAATAAGATGGAATTGAGCTGGCAAGATGTTTCTATGATTAACTGAGAAAATACAAATTAACTTTTTTTTAATAAGTTTTTTTGTTCTTCTGAACAATATATTCAACAGTACATTCAGAACACATATTAATACCATGCAATAATCAACATTCTCAACCCGTAAGAGCCTTTTAAAAATATAACAGATCTGAATAGAATACCCCAAGAGTTTAACTGAGCCAAAATGTGAAATGGTGATTTTTCTAGTCAGTTAACTACAATCACTAAAATTGGCCTCCTTTTCAAAGGGACTGGAAGATAAGCATTGCAACACCAGTTTTTTAAAAGAAACGATTCAGGGGCAAGCCAGGAAATTACAGGTACATTAACCTAACCAGTCCCCGGTAATTTGGTGAAAAGCATCATCACTCATTCATTCATTCATTCATTCATCCATTCATTTTTATCACGGTCAGAGACCCATTAAACAGCATGAGCATCATCACTAATCCTAAAATAATTGATTGTATAGAACATGCAGCATTGTTCAGGAATAGTCAACATGGCTATGCAACATCTTGCCTCACCAACATTTTAGAATTCTCTGGAAGTGTTAATATAGTTGTAGATAACGGTGATGTAGTAGATGAGTATATATTTGAGACTTCCAAAAGACTTTTTGACAAAATCCCTTACCACAATGTCCTGAGTAAGTGTTGTAACCATGGCATAAGATGACGGTTTCTTGTGGACAATTATCTTTTTGCAACCATTCTGTTTAACTTAATCATACTCTTCTGGGGTTTAGGGGTAATCAGTGAGGTACCTCTATTTGCAAATGACACTAAGTTATTCAGGACAATGAAGATTTAAGCAGACTGCAAAGAGCTCAAAAATAACTTTTCCAAACTAAGTAGATGGGCAGTGATATGACAAATGAGATTTCATTGTAAGCACAGTACTGCACATTGGGTCAGATAAGCCCAGCAATGTATACTGTTGGGATTTAAATTGCCTGTGATCAGCCAAGAAATACAACTTGAAATTGCAATGAATGTATCAAAGAAAAAGGAGAGTTTGTTCACTTAACGTGAATTTTGGTTCTCGGTGGTATAAAGGTGGGTCAGTTTGTGCTTCTGGGAAAACATTTACTCTGGTCACAGAGCAGGCAGGATCATTAGGTGCTTTGCTCACTCCTGTAAAAGCCCCTACTTGGGAAAACTGTACACATTAAGTAAATAATACAACAGCCTTAAATGGCCAAGTGAGCAACTAAAAAGAGAAAGCCATCTCACTGGAACTTAAACATAAATCTGTTAATATCTGTGCATGCCATCTCTGCAGAAGCTACTCCAAAGTTATCACTCTGACCACCTTTGCCAAAGATATTTGTCCTAAAAATAAGGGTGGGCAAGAACACACCACCTCTATACCACCAAGAATGGCAATTCGCAACAAGTGAACACATTTTCTTTTCTCTGGTGGTATGGGTGAGGCAGTCTGTAGTTCCGAGATGTAGAAAAACTGTTAATCCCAGGGTGGGACCAAATGTCACTTGAGCAACTGTTCCCAGTTGGGACAGCTTTGTGCCATGAAACAGCATCCATTGAAACTACGGTTTCAGAACCCAAATGCCATGACGTGATGCTCACATGACTGCCCAGTATGCAGACCACCAAAGAAAGGATGATATATGTTGCTGAGGAAACCGTTTCCTAAGAAAAGATGCAGTCATTTTCTGTGGAGGTGCTGAGTCGCTAAATTAGTATGGCACAAGAAAGGGGACCCGCGAAAATCGCAGGGGAAGGCGTGGGAGAGCTCCACACAGAGCAAGCGGAGGAGGAAGAAGCAGGTAAGCTTCCCGCCCTCCCGTTGGTTCCCCCGTCTCCTCCACACACACCCTCAACTACCACCCCCGGCTTGCCGGCCCCCCAGTCTCTCTTCCCCCCCAGTCTCTCTCCCTCTCTCTCTCTTTTTTCCCTCCCTCCGAAGCGAGGCCCGCGCGGCTTACAGCCGATGGGCCTCGGCAGTCTCTCTTCCCCGCTCCCGGCTCCGAGCAACCTCGGCTGTCTTCCCCCCCCCTCGCCTCCAGCCTCACCGGGCCTCGCCGCCTCCACCGCCGCCTCCTCCTCCTCAAAGCAAGGCCCGCGGCTTGCAGCCGCTGGGCCTCGCCGGGGCTCGCCACTGCCACCGCCTCCTCCTCCTCCTCCTCAAAGTGAGGCCCACGGCTTGCAGCCGCTGGGGCTCGCCGCCACCTCCGTCTCCTCAAAGCGAGGCCCGTGGCTTGCAGCCGCTGGGCCTCACCGGTCGCTCGCTCCCCTCCCCCCCCGAACCGAGGCAGTTCGCAGAGCGTTCCCTGCGCAGGGGACGCTCTGTGACTTTTGGGGGGATTTAAGTATCCCCCCGATATTTTTTTCAGGTTGTAAGCTTTTTGTGCACACCTGGGGTCCGTACCAAGTGTGCACAAAAATCTCCCTCCCCTCCAGGTCCCCCCGATGCGCGGATTTAGGTATCCGCACATGAGGGGGCGACTTCGGAATTAGATATATAGATGTCTATATTGGTCATAATCTAACCATCTTAACAGATAGTACAACTTTCATGTCATTAAAAAGAACTGCTAAAAGAGGCAAGTGGTGATTCAGACCTTGCAAAGTTCCACATGCTGGACACAAAGGATTCAGACCTCTTAATGCCTAAGCAGTACCTATTTCAAGTGTATGATATGACAGAAGGAGACAAAAATTTCATCCATCCCATGAAACACTAAATAGTAGACCACTCTGCTGCGGTGGCTCAAGTGGTTAAAATACTGAACTGCAGGCTGTGGAAGGTCGGTAGTTCAGCAGTTCGAGACCCGAGTGTGCCACATAACGGAGTGAGCTCCTGTCTCTAGTTCCAGCTCCTGCCAACCTAGCAGTTTGAAAGCAAGAAATTGCAAGTAGATAAATAGGTATCACTTCAGTGGGAAGGTAACAGCCTTGGTGTTTAGTCATGCCGGCCACATGACCACGGAAATGTATTCGGACAGCGCTGGCTCTTCGGCTTTGAAACGGAGATGAGCACCACAACCCTAGAGTCGGATTCGACTGGCTTTCGAGCAAGGGAACCTTTACCTGCAATTATGGGAGATAGATTCTCATATACAGAATGGGTATCAAGTTCTCTGCATTCTATCACAC